CAAATATCAAAACTACAGAAGTTAATTATTATAAAAATATTAACAATACATTAAGGACACATAATTTGTCCTTAAATACATTCAATGATAATTTGAATATTTGTGTACTACGAATGCATACTAAAAATAACAAATTTTCAAATTCTACTATGAACCCATGTAGGAATTCTATCGCATTTATGTGTTGTACTGAACGAGGAGTGACGAACAAATGCTGATTCTATCGTATAAATTCTTTTCCAACAATTCACGTGGAACACAAACACTACACTTCAATATAAATCCAAAACACTTAATAAACAAAACAGTTGTGTAGTGGACTTGATGTTCTACAAATAACGATAGATAACATAATCAAATTCTTTTCCAATGTTTTATGCAAATTGTCACTGTAAACCATAAATGGTCAAAACGAAATTTAATAAACTATCTTGGCAGCGAATTCTGCGTTATTACTCATTTAATACTTGTAGAGTATACAATGTCGTAAGTGTATTTCGCCAATAATAACTTCATTGATCAATTTTTCTTGTAGAAATACTTAAACAGTTTTGGTATCACGATTATAGATCTGTGTCCCTACAATAAACTGGAAAAACTCTCCGTATCAAACAGGAGCTTTGTCTTTAATTAGTGCGTGTACAACAATGCAAAATTGGTAATACAACAATAGTTTAATAAAGAGATATTGACTGTAACGCATGTTCTGACGCGAAAAGTATTTGGTCTACTGCGTACATGTATCACGAAAGTATTTAGAGCTGAAAAGGTTAAAGCTTCAGGAGTTTCATTTACTTCCTTTCTTTTACGGTTCTGCAACAATATTTGTAAATATTGCGTTGCGCATACGTAATATGTATTAATGAATATAAATATTTTCAGTAGAATTGTATTGAATTTTCCACTTCTAACTAGTGATAGTATATAAAATTAATGTAATAGATTAAAATAATGTTTTGTGATTACAGTTAAATTTATTTTATAATAAAGTTCAATATAAAATTTTTTAGTTTTCATTCCATTTCAACATCAACAACAGCATCCTCTACAACAACCTGTTCAGATGTCGTAGGGGTTTGTACGATAGGTAATGGATCAGGAGATCGAGTGTAAGTATTACTGGTTGAGTGTTCCTTAAGATATTCACCACCCTTATCCTCGTATTCCTTTTTACTTACTAAATATTCAGGAAGATTGCCATTTAGGCCAAAGTCTCTCGCACCATACCATGCATCTATACTAGTATTTTTTGCAATATTTATTTGGAAGTTTGAGCCGAACGGTCTCATTTCACGAAGTTCACGATTCAATCTTTCTAGTAAACCAGGAAATGTTGTTGATCCTCCAGTAAGAAATATATTTCCTACGAGTCGTGACTGTTGTTCGGGTGAATAAAGCTTTAAAACGAATTCGATTGTTTCAGCAATACCTGCTTCCATAGAACCTATCAAAGATGGTTGAAACAGTATTTCCGGAGCTCTCAAGCGTTCTACCCCCACATGCAATTGGTGAGTTTCCCCAGGAACTGCAGGAACATTTGATCCAGCACCATCGAATTCTGGATCATGATGTCGTAGCACATCTTCAAGTTCCATAAGTTTTTCTTGTTCTACTTCCGAGTCTGAATCTCCACCTTCCTGAAAAATTAACATCAATTGAAAGTGTAATACAATATTGAAATTATAAATTTACATAAAAATGACTAAAAATTTGTACACACTCTATTTATAACTTTATACACATCCCAATCTTCATCCCTCATACCAAAATCGTCATCGCGCTTTTCTTTTCTTGCTAATTGACTTATTATACGCATTCTTTCTTGTGCAGCGACTGTTCTACGTTTTGCCATGTCTTGCCGACGTTGTCTTTTGGCCATTCGTTTTTCTAATATTTCTTGCCTACATTGTAAAAAAAGTACTTTAATATTGTTATAAAAAATAGAAAAATAGTTATTTACCGTTTCTTTCGTACACCAGCAATCCATTCGTCAAAATCTTGTTGATCTTTAGGTTGCAAACTCAATTTTATTTTTGGTTTTTGTTCTTCCATTGCAATATTTTCTTCTTGTGAATTAGCTGCCACTATCTTTTGCCTTGTTCGTTCTACTTTTGCTTGCAAATTATTGATCATTTTTATCAGATCTGCTTCATTTGTGAGAGAATAGCTTTTCAAAGCTTGATCAAATTCATCTGCTTCACCTTCTTCTAACAAATCTTGAACAGCTAATAATTGATTTAACTGTTCTTCGTCTTCTGCTAACTATAAATAATAACTATTTTAAAAGTATATTTATATCTACATTAAATAAATATATGTTTACATTTGTAGGAAATTACTAACTCTCTCTTCCCTTTTCCTTGCATTGATTTCCATTAATCTTCTAGCTAACTCGCGTTTTCTTTCTTTTTGTTGTTCAACTGTTAAACCAGGAGTATTTGCAGGAGCAACATATGGCAATTGTACTCTTAATACATTTGTGTCATAATAATCTGGATCTGCCCATTTAGAAATTTCTTCTTGATAATTTAAAGCTATCGTTGAATGTTCATGTATTAATTCCTATTTAAGAAAAAATAAGAAAATAAATCTTTGAGATTATAATAATACTGGTAAAAAACAAATCACTTATATACCTCTGCTCGACTAGGTGTTATAGCATTCACATGCACTGGATATTTAAGTTGAAGCAATCTGTGCATGTAAGATGTAATGTGATATCCACCAACATTGATTCTTCGTGAATTTACAGGATCTGCTTTACCATCTAATATAGGTATTATATGTGTAGTATGGTACCCTATGCTAATTATTAAACCATCTGATGGACAATTATTATGTTGATAAGAAAGTAAGCAATCTACTCCATATGCTATTGCAGGTACGTTATAACATTCAAACAAAAGTTCAGCCATTACTAAAATTGATATAATTATTGAATTTAAACCTCGATATAATCTTATACTTCTACAAAATATAATCTACATATTTGTAGTAAGTATAAAGCTTATTTATGTGCTTACAATTTCGTGAATAATTTGGATTAAGAAATGCTTCTGTTAAAATAATTGGATGATTCACTGCGCTTTCTGTATCTATTCCCATATGAGTGAAAGTGTAATCAAATATCTGTTCCTGAGCTTCAAAATGTGTAACCACATTTCGATCAAATTGCGTTTTTAACTGAAATCGAACAGCTTCAATATTAGCTATGTCATTTCCAACTTGAGGTTCACCATCCTTTTTGCCACGTTCTTTCCGTGGTTTTGCAATAAGATTTTTGAATATTAATTGTGGTTCTTTTTCTGTAGCCCATCCAACTCTACAATTGTATGATCCTAAAAAATTATTCTTGAATTTTTATTAAAGTAACATATACATTATATAATTTATTATAGTTTGCTTACCATTATCAATTACAAGTGGTATTGTTTCGGATTTTACTCTATCTGGATAAGGATGAATAATATCAGGTACAGCTTTTATATCTTTTAGTTCAAGAATTTCCATTTTATGTATAATTAAATTATTTATTTATTTTCTGGCTAAATGCCCATAAAGAAAACTTGTATGCAACGGTTTTCTAAGCATGATGTAAATAACATAAGAACTGCAATATCGACGGAAACGAAACTGTGGAAATGGCGCATAAATTTAAATACGTTCCGTTGCTTGGATGGATCTTCAAATAAAACATCTGATTTAAATAGTTATTAACATAACTTTGTTCTCAAGAAAGAACAATCTCATTATTTAATATGTTCACCCCATTATTTCATTTTTATACTTTATACATGTTATAAATTACAAAATAGAATATAGATCCTATACCCCATTTGTGCTATTGATTTACAACGTATTAGTTATACAGGGTGTCCCGTAACTCCTCGAACACCCGGAAATGGGGAGTTGCTGGGGTCTTATTCTGGTGTGGTCATAGATTCATATGAATTGAGGTGTAGCAATCGCTACATGGAAAGACGACCATAGCTACGAATAGTGGTGCAGGTGCAGGGTTTCAATTCAAATAGCACGCAGTACGCAGTGCAGAGAATACGTAGTAGAGGATGAATTAAAAATTGAAGATTTATCAGGTAAGGATGCGACTTTCTTTGTTCCAAGCGTCATACACGTTTAGATTGTTCCATTAAAACTTTTATTATATTTATTGTTATATATTGTTATTGTTAATACGTCCAATTTTATTTCGCATGCTTACGTTTTTGTTGAATCACTCGAATATTCGTAACGTAATTTCTACGGATTTTTTTTTTCTTTACTTGATCTTTTTTAATTGTTGAGTCGTTTGAATATAAAGCATTCCTATTTTCACATTTTCGTAAAAGTAATTGAGTTTTGTTTGGTTTAAAGTTTCTGAGGCAGTCTTGTAATCATTACTATTTGAAAAATATACAAAAGTACAAAAGTTTTTGAAAGTATAACCGCTTCAACGCATTAAGTGATGATATTTCGAAATGTTTTTAGCTTTAGCTTATTGACTAAGTATTTTGTCAGGACACTATTTAACGGATTAAATTTATGTGTATCAAATGACTAATTTGTTTAAATCTAGAACACTTCTGAGTTCTTTAGCATTTCTTTAATAATTAGTTTAATTTTTATACGTTGTGTTTGCAATCAATTTTACACTATCTACTGCACAGCCCCTACAGTTTGCTAAAATTCTGCTATTAATATTCTGTTACATTTTGTCAGCTTACCCTATCAGGAATATTACGTACGTATTCTTTTGAATGTGTTGCATTATTACGAGAAATGAGAGCGTGTGTGTAGTGGTAATAGCAAAAATGATCACATACTGAGACAGGTTAACATAAACATATATAGAAGAATGACATAGTAACCGTTTGTTTAGTGTGAGTGGACGCCGATATTCTTTTTTTTTTTTTTTTTTTTCCCCCTT